TGTGTGGCAGTGTGCACCCCAGGACCACATAAACTGTGTGTGGTAGTGTGCACCCCAGGACGACATAAACCATGTGTGGCAGTGTGCACCCCAGTACCACATAAACCGTGTGTGGCAGTGTGCACCCCAGGACGACATACACCGTGTGTGGTAGTGTGTACCTATAATCCTGGTTCTCGGGAGGCGAGGCAAAAGGATTAGAAGTTCAAGGTAAGCCAACACACAGTAAATTTCTGGCCATTTTGGGGATATATGAAACTCAGTCTCAAACAAACAAACAATGCAGACTTGAGATCGAGGCCTATGTTGGTGTTTCAGGACCATACTGCCACTGGGGTAGTGGTGACATCCAGACCCAACATCGAGGACCATGTTGGGGTCCACGGTTCTACTCTGACTGGGGTCTGTGCAGAAGTCCAGGTCCTGCAGCACCAGCAAAGGTCATACAGAGGTCCAAGGTTAGGGCCAAAACCATTCCCACCTGAGCAGCCAGGTCCTCTACTCAGAGCCAGGATGTCGACCTGCCCCAAGCTGCTGCTGAGGACCATGCCTAGGTCTGTGGTTAAGTCACAGCTGGGGTCTGTATGGATGTCTGTGGCCTGTGTCAGCTCATGTGAGGTGACATAGAAACCATATGAGATGAAATCAGAGGGCCCTGATGAGCTGGCCGTAGCCTTCACTGGCCCTGGGAAAGCTAGTCTTGACTCTGCCTGGACACTACAGCAAGAAAACTGGCCCCTGCTTGCTGAAGAGATGGTCTCCACGCCCCCACCATAGGCCAAGGTGAACCCAGCCTGAGGGCACGCATGGAGGAGAGCTGCCTATACCCCCTCGCCTGAGGTCAGTGGCCCCAGGGGCCCAGAATGACAAGCATGCCTACCAACTAAGCCCACAGCAGGGTCTTGGGTTGGCCCACTCTAGCATCTACCCCATCTAGGACCTGCTGGAGCAGGTAAAGGGACTAGTCCTGTGGAACAATACCCGCACGATCTCCAAGACTCATGGCAGCCACAGAATATCCCAGAGGGGTTCTGGTGAGGATCCAGTGATGATGGTGTATCAGAAATCAGAGGCCTTGAACCAGACCAGTGACTCATCACAATAAACATTTCAGTCAAACTGAAGGGACAAAGAGGTGTACTATATGCATGGCACACCGAAGCCTCCAGTGCTACCAGGACGAATGAAGATGTGTCGGAGAAGCAGGAAAGAAGACGACGAAGAAACAAAGATTTTTCTGTTGTAGTTTGCTTTGGTGTTTGTTTTGTTTTTGTTCGCTTGCTTGTGTACTTTGATTTTGTTTCCTTATGTGGGGGGGTGTGGCAGGGATGAGGGGAGGATATGGGGGAGACCAAGAGGTAAACAGAATCGGGGTGCATGATGTGAAACTCCCAAAGAGTCAATAAAGAAGTTAAACTTAAAAAATCAAACAGACAGCCAGGCAGTGGTGGTACACGCTTTTAATCCCAGCACTCGGGAGGCAGAGCCAGGCAGATCTCTGTGAGTTCGAGGCCAGCCTGGTCTACACAGCGAGATCCAGGAAAGGCGCAAAACTACACAGAGAAACCCTGTCTCAAAACAAACAAACAAACAAAAACGAAACAAATCAAAAAACAAAAAAACAACAAACAAATTATACCTTGTCTCAATAACTGCAATTGCCTAATTCTAGATATGGCTCTTCTAGAACAATTTTATTGAACTAGGCATATTGGTGCAAGCTTTTAATCCCAGCACTCAGGAAGCAGAGGTAGGCTTACCTTTGTGAGTCTGAGGCCAGCCTGGTCTACATAGTGAATTCTAGGATAGCCAAGGCTATATAAAGAAACATTGTCTCCAAAATGAATAAATGAATAAAAATTAATTAATTAAAGATTTTATTTACTGTTACTGTGTAGAGTGTATGGTCTATGTGTGAGCATGTATCCCAGTGCACACCCATTGTCTTAGTCACTGTTCTATTGCTGTGAAGAGATGCTATGACCACGCCAACTTTTACAAAAGAAAACATTTAACTGGAAACTTGCTTATAGTGTGAGAGGCTTAGTCTATTACCATCACGGCAGGGAGCATGGTGGTATGCTGGAGCAGGAGCTGAGAGCTCCATCCTGATCCAGAGGCAGAGAGGCAGAGAGAGACAGAGACAGAGAGACAGACAGACAGACTCTGGGCTTGGCAAGGGCTTTTTGAAACCCCAAACCCCATCCCCAGTGACACACTTTCTCCAAAAGGTCACAACTCCTAATCCTTCCAAATAGTTCCACTCCCTGGCTAAGCATTCAAAAACCAGCCTATGGAGGCCATTTTTATTCAAATTACCTCACCCAATCAGTTCTCTTCTGTCACCTTAATGTGAATTTTGGGACTCAAGCTCGGGTTGCCAGGCTTGTACCGAGCCATCTTACTGGCCCACACGTGGTTAGTAAGAGACACCCGAGGGCTGGAGAGCTGTCTGGTAGTTCAAAGCACTTGTATAGTTGTACTAGCTCACAGCTATGCTTAATTCTACTTCCAGGAGCTCCGACATCCTCCTCTGAAATCCACGGTGTAGGCACACATGTGGTGCATCTACACAGTCTAGATGCCCTAGAACTGGAATCACAGACAATCGTGAGCTGTCATGTGGGGACTGTGATTGAACCCAGGTTCTCTGGAAGAGCAGCCAATGCTCCTAACCACTGGGCCATCTCTCCAGCCCTGGATGTGCTGCTCTGTTGAAAAGTCAGGCACTTGGGTAAAGAAAACTGTATGGAACAAGTGCACAACATAAACACTTCATGTCAAATTCTGCACAGCTAAGCACTGAATGAGGAAGTTCTTTGTACCTCTTTGAATTTTTAGTTTCACCTGTGCATCCCAGACACACATGGTCCTGAAAAGGAAGTGAGCATAATTGTTGTTTTGTTTTTGTTTTTTTTTTTTTGGTTTTTCGAGACAGGGTTTCTCTGCGTAGTTTTGCGCCTTTCCTGGAGCTCACTTGGTAGCCCAGGCTGGCCTCGAACTCACAGCGATCCGCCTGGCTCTGCCTCCCGAGTGCTGGGATTAAAGGTGTGTGTTACAATTAAAGGGCATAATTGTTTTACAGGACTGAAGAACTGAAGAGCAGGAGTTTTTCATCTCAGGTTCTGGATTTTTCTAGAACTTCATTCTTCACACATGAGCCCTCACAATGTACGACTCCACTGCCATGAAATGCCCAGAACAGTAAACAAAGAGAAAAGGAAACCTCTCAGAGTGTAAGGAAAACAGAGAGTGGCTTAGGGTTCCCCATGCTCAATGAACTAAATAGAGACTATAACTACACAACTGTGAATCATCGTCTACAGCCACTGAATGTTATCCTGGAAACAGGTGAAATGTGTGGTGTGTGGATTTTATCTCGATAAAGCCCTTTGTGCTTCAACTACAAAAAGAGAAAGCTTACACTCAAGTAAGTCACTGTCTTAAAACAGAGGCCAGTTGTCAGCCAGTGGGTGTGTGTTGAGAAGGGTCATATAGGACAAAACATTTAAGCAATGGAAAGGTGAGTGACTGGCAGGCTCCCTGGGGAGCTGCTGTCCCTACCAACCACCAAAACTACGTGGGTGGGGCTGCCTCTGCAGCGGGAGAAGCTTATCTCCACCTGACAGTCCATCTTGCCAGTCCACTCACTTCAGAATTCTGAAAAATTTGTTTACTTCATTAAACCAGATCTCCACATATACCCCTCCCCTCACAGCAACCTACTGGCTACATTGTCCATATAGAAACACCGAAGAAAACAATAAAACACACAAACAAAAACAAAACCAATACAGGGACTCTCTAGTCTAGTACCAACCACCTCACAAAGTACCTGAGGGAAGATTTGGTTTTTACTGACTGGCAAACTCAAACTGCTATTCTTCCTAAAGCAGAAGCCCAAGGGACGGATGAAAGTCCAGAACTGATAAGTGAGTGCCCGAAGATGGTCTCGAAGTCTGGAGGAAGCACTGTGCTCCATTCTGCAGTCTGCTGTCACCTAACACACTTCTCAACCTAGTACCATAAACTTTCAAAACAGGAGACCTAGAGGCTATAAATACTACCTGAAAATTTCACCAAAATACAGTAGGCAGCAGGGTGGGGGGAAAAGACACATTTCATCATGTAGTTCCACATCAGGGCTTGGAAACTCTGAGTCATGAGCCCCTTTGAGTAGCTAAAGGAAGCTATGGGCCCTCTCAGCATCAAGCACATATGTGTCCACTCCCACACAGTCCTGCATACTTTACAGACACAGAAACCTCCTAAACCTAAATGCAGGCTCCAGACTACGAACACAGAGCCTGGCTGAATGTGTGGGTGCATGCCTGTAATTCCAGTCTTCAGGAGTCTGGAGGCCAGCTTGAGTCATACAGAAAGTTCCATGACCGCTCTGGGTTTGAATCCATCTTTAAAACAAAACAAAAAGCCATGAGGTCTGGAGCGATAGCTCAGTGGTTAAGAGTGATTTTTTTCCCCCAGAGCTGAGGACCGAACCCAGGGCCTTGCACTTGCTAGGCAAGCGCTCTACCACTGAGCTAAATTTCTGATGGCTACTAGCACACATGTAAGGTAGCTCATAACCACCTTTAATTCCAGTTCTAGGAGGCTCTCATACTGCTGATGTCTGTGGGCACCTGCACTCAGGTGTAAAAACCTCCACACAGACACACACGTAATTAAAAATAATTAAATCCAGTTCCAGAAGATCTGACACCCTCTTCTGACCTTCACAGCAACTGCATGCACACAGGAGACATACGGAGGCAAAATAGCCATACATATAAAAATAACATTTTAAACTCCCCCCCCAAACAAGGTTTCTCTGTGTAGCCTTGGCTCCTTTCCTGGAACTCACTCTGTAGCCCAGGCTGGTCTCGAACTCACAGAGATCCACCTGCCTCTGCCTCCCGAGCGCTGGGATTAAAGGCGTGTGCCACCACCGCTCGGCAAAATGTATCATTTGAAAAAGAGATCTTTACAAAGGGAAGAAAATTCCCCATTCTAAATGGTGCATCAAGACTAATAGCAGTGTCAGGTAGGAACCCAAACTTGGTGCTCCAACCACTTAAATCTGCCAAGTTTGGAATAACAGAAAAAGTACCACTTCAATCACTTTTTACTTACTAGCTACACAACTCTGATGACATCACCTCTTGATGAGGTAAAGCTAGGTTAATTATGACACCTACCTTACTAAAGAGGAGACTGATTTAGAAATCCAATGACCTGTCAAGGTTATGCAGCAGGCAGGCAGTCTACACCATGCTAGTCTGACATTTGTAATAGAAGGTGATGAGTATTGGTCTTACTTGAGAACTGCACTGGAGGACGAGGGTCTGCATTCTCCTTCTGTCGCAAAATTACAACATCTCCATCTTTCAAGCCGTAAGAAGCCAGGGATCTGTGGTTGTCGGTGAGAGGTCTTTCTGCGTAGACAATCTGCAAGGGAGATCCAGTGGTATAAAGTATGGAGAAGCAACATGATACCACTTTTCCTCTTCATCATGTTCCCTGCTCAAGACTCTTCCATGGGTCCCCATCACGCCTAAAAGGAAACCCAAAATCCTGCCTGTCTCCTACTAGGCCCAAAGGATTTGGCTGATGGCCAGCTCTGACCTCATCCTACTGCTCATCTCATTGTTCCAATGAGACACACATTTTCTTCCTCTCAGGCGGTTTCTTCCTCTACCTGAGGACCATTCTTTCTCCTGTCACTTTGTTTAGGTCTCTGATCAAGTGTTATTTCAGTGTTCTTCCCTGAAACCACATTTAAAGTGTACCCTGGACATGGGCCGTGGGTGTAGCTCAATGACATTGCATCTCCCTTACACCCACAAGACCCTGGGTTCCATTCCTAATGACACAATGTATTTTGAAGTAAACTATACTTTTCTCACCTGATATACTATATTGATCTGCTCAACTAAAAGGTAGGCTATGTGGAACGTGATTTTGTTCAGCTGCCCATCACAGATGCTTAGGACAAATCCTGTTATGTAACGAGTGCCCAGAAGTCTGCTCAAGTAAAGGATGCATTGATTCATATAGTAAGGAATTTAGCTTTCATTCTGAGCAACCATGGAAATAGGGATGACATGTTCTGGGTATGTCTGCTACAAGGTAAATAATGTATACTTTTAGCTAGGTATGGTGGCACACGCCTGTAATTTCAACACTAAGAGGCCAAGGCAGAAAACCACCTTGAGTATCAGGCCAGCCAGGGCTACAGTGAGATAGTGTCTCAAAAAAACCCACAAAACTAAAGCCCAGTATACATGTAACAATAATTATAAAAAGGTCATGAATGGGTGTGTGTGGAAATGATGCAAACACAGTACTCAATGATCAAATTCTCAAAATAAATAAATAAAATGTTTAAAAAATGTATTTTAAAAATCTGAGAAAGAGATAATAAAGAAATTCAGAACCAGGAATGGTGGTGCACGCTTTTAGTCCCAGCACTTGGGAAGCAGAGGCAGCAGGATCTCTGAGTTTGAGGCCAGCCTGGTCTACAAAGCAAATTTCAGGACAGAGAAGCCCTATCTTTAAAAACAAAACAAAAAACCAAGGAAAGAACTTCAGGAAAAAAGGCAAGTGTGTTTTTCAGCCGCGAAGCAAACCTACAGCCGTGGTTAACGACTGGAACACAGCAGGTGCAGGGGAAGTGAGCCGGCACCGGCAGGACCCTCTCCCAGTTTTACTGCTCTCATGTTTATGAGAAAAACCAACAGAAAGATGAACACGTTGAGCTAGGTCCTGTTAACAGAAACACTTTCCATGGTTCCCACATAAAAGCAGAGTGTACTGTGAGGGAAGAACGGAGCACACAGGAGCACAGAGACTTCACCACGCAAGGGTAGAAACTGTCCCTATGTCGTCCTGTACACCACAGACACACTGGGGCTTGGCACAGCTTGCTCCCTAAGCGTTTGCTCTGCTCTGGGCCACAAACTGAGCAACCTGAGCTGGGTACTAACTCAGCCAGAACTCTGGGAGGGGCCTGTCACTAAGAGGCCAGGAGTCAAATTTCTTGTGTCAAGCAGGCCACCAGGACTGGTCACCACAGATGTCCCCTCCACTTCTTTTTCCATGCTTGGGCTGAACTCAGGGCCTTGTACCTGCTGGGCAACTTGTCTAACACCAGCCTCCCTGTCTGTTCACGTGTTCTCTTGGCAAAGCCCCTGGGAACAGAACAGGCAAACATCACTTACTTAGCCCTTCTCTGCATTTGCTGTCAATCTGCTCCCAAGTTCGAGCTGCAATGAGCAAAAAAACCAATCCTCCAAAACTGAATCCTTCTGGAGACAAGAAAGCAGAACTTGTCTGTCCAATTTTACAAGTTTTATGCCTGACTAAAAATGCCTGCAACCATCCCTGCCACCTTGTCATGACACTTATCCAAGTGCGTATCTCAGACTTACTGGAGGTAGGAAACAACTGATTCTTTTTTCTTTTTGGTAATACAATGGAGCGCTGTACTACATGTAATTTGTGGGGGTGAGTCGAAAACAACCATAACTAGGGTCTCAGGCTGAGGTGTATTGGGTGGCATCAACACAACTGAGCCACTGTGATGAGATCACGAATAGCCCATGGCCTTCCCTAGTGTCTCAGGTTCAGTGAGTCAGCTGTAATGTATTTAAAGGCTCATGACTCGCCTCCCAAGGCAGATACTTGCTAGAAAATGTCTTCATTTATAAAGAACCAAACTCAGTAAGATGAGAACAATTTAAGGATGAGGCTTGGTTCAGTGGGAGAGCATCTGCCTGGCATGGAAGAGCTCAGCACAAGACTACTGAATTCTCTTCCAGTGGGACATAATATGGAAATCCAAACTTAAAGAGCATCCTGCTACCACTGAGCGAAACTATACTGGGCTAACACACCAAGTCCACCCTTTCCCACTTAGCCCTCACACTGTCTCACTGAGTGTCACAGCCATTTTAACAGGGATCATCTGTCCAATTTTATGGACCAGAAGACAAAGAGACCACACAGCTATTAAGAGAACTGACACTGATGTTCTATGTGCTTGACATTAAAAATGATATTCTTGCTGGGCAGTGGTGGGGCACACCTTTAATCCCAGCACTTGGGAGGCAGAGGCAGGCGGATCTCTGTGAGTTCGAGGCCAGCCTGGTCTATAAAGCCAGTTCCAGGAAAGGCTCCAAAGCTACACAAAGTAACCCTGTCTCAGGGGGAAAAAATAAAAATAAATGATATTCTTTTCCAGCACATCAAAGCAGCCTCAGGAACTGGCTTCTAAGCCAGACTTCATCACTAAGGATCTATACCTCTACTGGCAATACCTGCCCTGCTATGTGAAGCCCCTGGGTTCAATTCTGAGTATGGGGTATGGGATATACACACAGTTTTTGTTCTAAACATCAAATAACACTGGGGCTGGCGGGGGATGTAGGTCATGGTGCAGGACTGCACAGGACAGGACAAAGGAGAGACGCAAAGAGACACTGCAGTGTCTAGTGTCTTCTTACTCGGCCTACTTTTCATTTTTATTTACTTTCTGACTTTTTTATGTGTATGAATGTTTGCCCTTCACATACATAATGTATATTACTTGCATGCGTGGTGCCTGTGGAAGCCAGAAGAACAGTGTCTGATTCTCTAAAACTAGAATTATAAATGTTTGTGAGCCACCATGTGGGAGCTAGGAACTGAATCCAGCCCTCTGCAAGAGCAGCCAGTGCTCTTAACTGCTGAGCCATCTTTCCAGCCCATTTCTCATTTTTAAAAGGATGGCAACAGAAGCCAAGAGTGGTAGCAATCACCTTTAATCCCAGACTGGGGAGGCAGAGAGAGGTGGATCTCTGTATCTCTCTAAGTTTGAGGCTAGCCTGTTCTACATAGAAATACAGGACAGCCTGAGCTACACAGAGAAACCCTGTCTCAAAAAAAAAAAAAAAAAAAAAACTAAGGGAGAGAGGGACAAGAAAAGGGATGGCAACATGATTAATGAAGTGGTAAGTTCTATATCGCCATTGACATCAGACGTGTATAATGTGTACAAGCTATGGAATATCTGACCCAATTCCCTCAAAAATGGGTTGATTAGTTACTTGGGCATTGATGTCTGTTTGGCCCTGGTTTCAGGATTTGGATCATGGTCAGGAGGACACAGCAAAGAACTGTTCACATCATGGCAGGCCAAAGTGAAAAGCAGACACAGGAAGACACGTCCCAAGGACATGCTTTCAATGACTCTTCCTCCTACCAGACCCCACTTCTTTTCACCATCTCCCAATAATGCCATCATATTATGAATTCATCAAAGGATTAGTTGTTTTTGTTTTCCCAGACAGGGTTTCTCCATGTAGTTTTGGTGCCTGTCCTGGGACTCACTCTGTAGACCAGGCTGGCCTCAAACTCACAGAGATCCGCCTGCCTCTGCCTTCTGTACAACAGAACTCTACACTTTCAGGTGTAAATCTGCAGAACTGTTGCAGCAGCTAATACTTACAACAGAGGAATATTAGAACCTCACTCTAACATGAGATTCCAGCCAGGCAGTGGTGGCGCACACCTTTAATCCCAGCGCTCGGGAGGCAGAGGCAGGTGGATCTCTGTGAGTCTGAAGCCAGCCTGGTCTACAGAGTGAGCTCCAGGACAGCCAGAGCCACACAGAGAAACCCTGTCTCAAAAAAAAAAGATGCGATTCCAACCTTAAACAATCAACACCTAGCAACAGACTCAACAATGCAATCCGAAAACCTTAAAGTATGACATCAAATGTTTTCTGGTCCCTGAAGAAGAGCCTTCACTTAATGGTTAATGGGGTGGGTGGGATGTCACTTTTATCCTTTTTGACAGTGCTGGGAATCAAAGGTGTAGCAGGGAAGCTCTACCAGAGCTCCTACCCCCAACCCAGTAGACCTTATTTTTTTTTTAAACAAGGTCTCTCTACTTCCTATTCGACCAGGTTAGACTAGAGACCCACCTGTGTCTGCCTCCCGAGTGCTGGGATTAAGGTGTGAACCACCATGCTCAGCACCCAAACAAAAACCTGTTTTTTGAGACAGGTTCTCACTATGTAGCCTTGGTTGGCCTGAAACCACAATGGAGACCAGGCTGGCCTTGAAATGTGAGTCTCAAATAACAACAAACAAAAACTATCCAAACAACAAACTAACACCCAAATTGCAGGTATCTCTGAGTTATGAGGAATGAGTGAGTGGTTGCATTCTTTATTCTTTTCAGTGTTACATAACCTTTCTATCATGACTATTCAGTATTTACCTGGGGGGGGGGGGGAGATTACTTAAGGAAATAAACCAAAACTAGCCACAATAGAAACTTTCAGTTTCCATGGTTTAAAATAACATTTTTGTAAACCACACACGGGCTGTGTGAAAAGTGGCATTTCCAGGGTCACAGTTACTGCTGTTAGTTGCCACTTAAACATGCCTTTCACTGATGATCCTTCCATTCTGTACAGGCTTTTACTCCATGCTACCTATAGAAGTGAATTATGTGTCAAAAATAACAAGACATTAATTTAACGTGAAGCTAAGTTCTGATAATTGCTTGAAGTTGGCCCAGCCAAGCCTGCATCAAAGCATCACCCTGAGCCTGTCTGGCTGCCAAGCCCACACTTGCAATGAGGGAGAACATGTCCTGCTTTAATCACAGTACAGAAGATGGTTTCTATTCTAAATTTATTGTCACTGCATTAGAACTACTATAATCAGACTAGAGCTGTTAGGAAAATTAACGTCTTTTCTAAGTGTCTTGTGCACAAATGATGCTCCCTGGGCAGGACAGGCATGTGACAACTAAAAAGCGTAGGAAAGAAAGCACGAGCATTTTCACTTCTATTTATTTAAAATTTTTTTTTTTAATTTAGACTTATTTATGTGTACTATGCCTGCATGTATGTATGTGTACTATGTGCATGTCTAGTGCCCACAGAGGCCAGAAGAGGGTGTTGTGAGCCACTGTGTAGGTGCTGGGAATCAAACCTCTGTAAGAGCAACAAGTGCTCTTAATTGTTATCTGTCTCTTCAGTCCCATTTCCATTTATTCTAGTTTATTCTTTGGGGCGGGGTGGTTTGAGACAAGATTTCTCTGGGTAGCCCTGCCTGTCTTGGAACTCTCTCTGTAGACCAGGCTGGCCTCAAACTCAGAGATCCGTCTGCCTCTGCCTCACAAGTTTTGAGATTAAAGGTGTGGGCCAACCCTCTCCCCACTTATTTTATCCTTCTTAAATTCTATTTTGCATGTTTATAATGTAATTATCACTTAATGTATGTATGTATGTATGTATGTATGTATGTATGTATGTATGCACATAATATAACTGAACTGGAGAGATGGCTCAGAGGTTAAGAGCACTGCCTGTTCTTCCAGAGGTCCTGAGTTCAATTCCCAGCAACCACATGGTGGCTCACAACCATCTATGAGATTTGATGCCTTCCTCTGGCGTGCAGGCATGCTTGCAGATAGGACACTGTATACATAATAAATAAATAAATAAATAAATCTTTTTTTAAAAATGTAACTGATATAGTATATGCACATATATAACTTAGCTGTAACTGCTCTGTACCATATAACAGAATATGCACAACATGTATAGTAAATAAAACAGCCATTTATGTAATTTATGTATAAGGTACTGTGAGCATGATCTCAAACACTTGACTTATGGAGGTACAGGTTATAGCATGAGGACAATCAATTTAGAACAGAAACCATCTCCACCGCACATGTGGTTAAAGCAGGGCATGCTCTATCTCAGTGCGAGTGCCACCCAATAGGCAAGGAGGGCTCTGTAAAGTTCATCCATGTTTGGACACCAGTGGCATGGAGTCAGAAACAGGTGAGGGAATGGGGATGGGAAAATTAAAGCCCAGTGAAGGAGACAGACTGGAAGAAATCTGAGGGGAAGGGACAAGTCAGAAAAGCTGGTTGGGGAGCTCAAATAAGAAATGACTGGGAAAAATAAAACAAAAACCAAATCAACCAACCAAACAAAAGATGGCGTTACTTTTATGATCCAAGGAAAGGAAGTGACTCAAGTGTCTGGGGTGGATCCTGTTCCTGCCTGAGGGGGGCTCGGCAATGAACTAGACAGGCGACCCCCAACCCCCAGAGTGCTTTAAAAAAAATCAGTTCTTAAAATAGACACTGTGTTGTCAGGTTACATAGAGCCAACAGCACTAACTTGAAAAACAGGGTGCTGTTTACAGCTATCTAATACAGGCTTAACACTAGTTGGAGCACACTAATTTGGGTCGGGAAGAAAGTAAATACCAAATGTTAATGCTAGCAGTGGAAGAATCTGGCGCTAGCCTAATTGTTCAAGTAGCACCCCTAAAGCCCCAAGGTGGCAGAAGACAGTGCCCTCTTTAGTCATACAATTAGCTTTCAATCTGATACCCTAACTTACTTAAAACTCTTTTTACAGACATCTGAGTGCCACCGCCTGGGGTTGGGGGAGTTGGGGTGGGGGAGGGGATATAACCCAGTAGTAGACCGCTTGCCTGGCAGACGGAAACAATGTCCACCTCTGTTCACTGTCAAGTCGTACTGACAAATTCAACTTAAAATTATTTCCAATCAGCTGGCAATTAGAACTTGGGTAATTAAACAGCTACACACAAAAGAACAACTGAAAACAAAACAAACCTTCAAAAACTGAAAAGTGAGGCTGGGCATGGTAGTGTATACTTATAATCCCAACAGTAAGGAGCCTGAGGCAGGAAGATTGTTGTTTGAGGCCAACCCTGGCCCCATAGTTGAGACCTTGTCTCAAAAACAAAAGAGCTGGTTGCCATAGCTCAGGCCTCCAAAAACTTGGGAAGCAGAGTCAAGAGGGACTCTGAGTTTAGGTGAGAGCCAATCTGAACTATATGGTGAGACCTGCCTCAAAAAACAACCAATCAAGCCAGGTGGTGGTGGGACACACCTTTAATCCCAGCACTCAGGAGGCAGAGGCAGACAGATGTGTGTGAGTTCGAGGCCAGCCTGGTCTACAGAAGTTCTAGGGACAACCAGGCAACACAGAGAAACACTGTCTTGAACCTTGAACGCCCCCCCCAATCAATCAATCAATCTTCAAAAAGGCTGATATTCCCCCTCTCTAATCTCTCTAGTCTTAGTTTGCCATTGACACGAACATGGGGTTTACCAACAGGAACTGAGTACTAGGTTTCTGTGAGTTAATTTTTTCTATGGAAATTAGGGGAACTGTTTAATCTCTACCTTTTGCCAGACTGTGTATGTGAGTGACACCTTGTTCCCTAAGACTGATCCTTCCAGAAAAAAAAGTTGTATGCCAAGGTTCTAAAGTTCATATTGTGTAAAGGAATCATACTTCTGAACAAAATATTGACACGTTTATCATAAGTCAGGGCAGAACAAGCAGGAGTTGGGCAATAGTTTTTGGAACTATTTCATAACTGCAGAAGGAAATCCAGATTTACATTCTGGGGCCTTGGGAGTCGTCTATAATTTTCTAATGTTTAGACTACGCCCAGCAAGGCCCACTCTGGGTAGAATCTGTTTTAGTGCAAAGGTTACAGAATAGTCCACCTATTGTGCTTGATAAAGACTATTAAGAGCTGCAAAGCATTTTAAGAATATATTTTCTTGTTAGAACATAAGAGGGGCTGAACTCCTTGCCACCGAGTCCCGCGGAGATCTTCAGACAGTAGGCCATTTTCAAGCTCATATCCTTCGAAAGCACTGAGCTTTGTACTAACCCAAATGAACTGGGACCAGAAAGGAGGAGGGCTTTGGCCTGAGAGAAGCAAATAGACTGAGTTGGCCTAACCATCACTTAAAAAAATAATAATAATAAATTAACCAGAAACACATGCCGTAGGGAAAAGCATTTCTAGAGACGTCAGAGGCAGAACGAGTCTCAAACTTTCCCGAACCTCACTTTGAACTAACTACAAATCTGCAAGCTCCCAGGTAAACTGCACATACTGAAGCAGAAACTCGGTACAAACAAGCAAACCCCAGACCAGCGTCTATCTCCCAGGGATCCAAACTGGTATTTCTGGTCGGAGAAGCAGGAGGTACGTGATGAGGACCCAGGGCTCCCGAGGGCCAGAAGGTGGAGAGGGCCGTCCACCCGTGCACGTGTCCCCCTCGCTGCAGTGGGTGCATCTAGGGGCGGGCGGCTGCAGGGACTCGGCCCCCGCCGCCCCCCAACTCCCCGGCTGCAGAGTCTGGAGGCCCCGCTCGCTGCCCCAGCGTACCTGGCTCTCGGCGGCGGGGATGCCGGACTCGAGCTCGCACAGCGCGCGGAAGTTATGCAGCTCGAAGTCGGCGTCGACCTGGAGGGAAAAGGTCACCTCGGAGAGGTCCCTCCGCACACAGTACACGGTGAGCAGCATGGCCCGGGCCCGACCCGGCTCGGCTCGGCCCGGCCTGGACGCTGGGCGGAGGGTAGGCGGTGGCGGGGGGCCTGGCGGGAGCTGCGGGAGGGCGGCGGGCGCGGGCTGCTCGCTCCCTCGCTCCTTCCCTCCCTCACACGCGCGCAGTGACTCACTCGCTCCCGCCCTCAGCAGCCAGCACGGCCGCCGCCACCCGCCTGCGAGGCCGTCTGCCTGCCGGCCTGCCTCCCACCGCTACCGTCAAGCGCGGGCCGCCCGGCGCCCCGCCCCGCCGCAACGCGGCTGCCGTAAAGCGCTCCTGGCTTGCAGCCGCCTTCGCGACGCGCGGGGTGTGGGGCGGGGCTGAGGAAGCCTGTCCGGGAGGAACGCGGGGGTGGGGGAAAGCCACTATTGGTTGACTTAATAACTGAATTCGTGAGCACTCCGCAATCTCAGTTATTCAGCCAACAGGCCCCTACTGTGCGCGGATATGAAAGTGGATGAGAGATCCGAGTCCTCACTCTTGACTCTCCATCTGCTTTGGGAGACTTAAGCAAGCAGATCTGAAACATCTTTCAAAATGGAAACGAGCATTATAATAGTAACTCGCTTTCGTCTTGGTAATTAACGTAGGACGGAAACCTCACTCCTTCCTTTGTCTGATCCCTAGGTCTCACTTTGCTGTGGAAGGAAATAGGAAGCAGGATGGCTGTGCATGCCGCAAGAACTTCAGTTTGCAGAAAAGGGAGAATTTCTAGGTGCTGACTTTTTACAAAGACAGAATGGAGAAGCTGGGCCCCAAGGGCAATGCTGGTACCAAGGACCGAGTGACAGAAAGCCCAGCTACTGTACAAATAAATGGCAAATTGCAATGAAAACAACATCCTAAGAGCCTTTCAAAATGGAGTTGGGAAACGAGGTTTCTGAGGACGTCAGGTGCCCCACTGGTCACCTTCACACTTTGTGTCATCTAAAAGAGATGATTAACTCATGCCTAGACATTTAATGGGCATCAAGATGCTATTGTTGTATGAATCGTTTCTTGAAAAAGTTTAAATTTTGCTGGTCGTTGTGGCAAATGTCTTTAATCCAAATCCAGTTTTGATTTTTTTCCAGACAGGATTTCACTGTGTGGTTTTGGAGCCTGTCCTCACACTCGCTCTGTCGACTAGGCTGGCCTCGAACTCACAGAGAGCCGCCTGCCTCTGCCTCTGCCTCTGCTGAGCCAGGTCTCTAGCAGCCCCTACCCTGTTTTTGAGAGAGGGTCTCACTATGTAGCCCTGGAACTTACTATGTAGACCAGGCTGGTCTTGAACTTACAGAGATCCACCTGCCTCTGTCTTCCAAGTGCTAGGATTAAAGGAATGCACCACCACGCTGGCTTGAAGAAATCAGTCACATACAGCCTTTTATACAACTCCAATTCTTTCCCAATTCCAATGGAGTTTCTCTACTCACCCATTTCAGATCAAATTTTCCCTGCTTGCTTTATTTGCAACACTGACTCTGCACTCTATGAACTTGTTACACCTGAATTGTAATTCCAACTCCCAAGGAAGTCCTTTAGTTTTCTAAGTTTGAGTTGATAGATGCTATCTGGGACTTTACCAAATAAGGGTTTGTTTTCTCACAGGCTAGGGGCCTGGACAGGCAGCTGCTCCAGTTCATTGGCTCAATGCACAAGGGCCAATGCCTTTCACCTACCTCTAAGGATGTAACAATTCTCTTGGCCTTTCCCCAAAGATTGCAAAGTGGCTGAAGTCTCCACACCATGAGTCATTTTCTTGTCCAAGGTTGGCGCTTGCCTAGATCTATCAGCAGACTTTTGGCTGGTATCTTACTGGACAGACCTGTGTCCAGTAGCTGTACGAGAGGCTAGGAAAGCAAGCATTTAGTGTTTAGCATTTTCAACAAGCTTTAATGGATGCTGTCCATTAAAGCATAATGCTTTCTAAAGCAGAGGGGGTTTAAAACAGTTTGTTTGTTTGTTTTGGTTTTTTGAGACAGGGTTTCTCTGTGTAGCTTTGCGCCTTTCCTGGAACTTGCTTTGGAGACCAGGCTGGCCTCGAACCCACAGAGATCTGCCTGCCTCTGCCTCCCAAGTGCTGGGATTAAAGGCATGCGCCACTACCACCCGGCTAAAATAGGTTTTAAATTAGGTACATTCGACAGGACTTTCAAATGTATGTATATATACATATATATAATTTTTTAAAGTGTATAGCGTTTTTGCCTGCATGTCTGTACCATATGTGCCCCCCATGTGTCTGCCTGATGCTCTGGAGTCCAGGAGAAGGTATCAGGTCCCCTGGAATTAGAGCTGCAGATGTTTGTGAGCCACCACGTGGGTGCTGGGACCTGAACCTGGGTCCTCTGCAGAAAGGACAAGTACTCTTGGGGGCGGAGCCACCTCCACAGCCTCTCTGTGACGTTTTTTCCACTAGTGCTCGGGTTCCTGGTTCTGGAAGAACTTATTTTCCTACCATGGCCATCACAATCCCCCCCATCCTGTATGTTTTTCCTCCCATTAAGAAGTGGCATGTGGCTGGGCCGTGGTGACACATGCCTTTAATCCCAGCACTCGGAAGACAGAGACAGGTGGATCTCTCTGAGTTCAAGGCCAGCCTGGTCTACAGAACTAGTTCCAGGACAACTAGGGCTATTACACAGAGAAACCCTATCTCAAAAAAACAAAACCAGGGGTTGGGGATTTAGCTCAGTTGTAGAGCGCTTGCCTAGCAAGCGCGAGGCCCTGGGTTCGGTCCTCAGCTCTATTAAAAAAAAAAAGACCAAAAAAAAAAGAAAAAAAAAAAGACAAAAAAAAATAAGCCGGGCGGTGGTAGCGCA